AGACACCGAATAGAAGCTCTTCTCACTGTTGATGTTGTCATTATACTATGTATGTTTGACGTGCATGTCGTCATTGATATTACCATTACTAATAATATTTTATTATAATTATTATCACTGTCATAAAAAAGATAATGATAGTAGTGATCAAATTATTAGAATGCGGTCAGTCAGCCTATCATACTCTAGATTAGTTGACCAGAATAATATAAGAAATCTGTTGAATAGTTTAGCTATAGCACTAAACCATGCCACTACACTACATGCCAGTTTACGCCGACTCTGGCGTAGACGAGATGTTCGACTATCGACCAAAGGGCGGGTGTACTGCTCATCAGTCCACTCCGTCCTCCTTTATGGCTGGCTGTGAGACCTGGCCACTGAGAGTGGAAGACATGAAAAGACTAGCTGTCTTGGATCATAGGTGCCTGCGCTCTATTTCCCGTGTAAAGTGGCATAATAAGGTGAGCAACATTGAAGTTAGGCGTCGAGTTCTAGGTAAACAGGGGAAATCAATCGACGAAGTCATGAAGCTACAAAGACTGAGATGGTTAGGACATGTGTTACGTATGCCAAGCCATCGCCTCCCTCGACGAGCTATGTTAGCGGATATAGGATCAGGCTGGAAAAAAGCTAGCGGCGGTCAAACAAAAACTTGGCTTCACCAGTCAATGAAATCCACATCAGTTGGTCTAAGCCACGTAGGAAGGTGTAGACTTCCAGGCTGGGGTCCTCGGGACGGTAAAAATCTATGGTTGGAAACAATTGGTGACATGGCTCAAAACCGTTCTCAGTGGCGCAGAGGCATCCACTCCTTGTGACTTATGATCTCCAATGAAACTGATTTGTATTTCTTTATTACTCCTTTGTCTCACACCTCTGCTCACTGTTTCTATTATGCTTTTCTTGTACTTTCGTCTCTTGCTTCGCGTGCTACACGGAGTGTGGCGACTTGAACTGGCGCACATTTGTGCAAAGTTCTATGTCGAAAACAGACAGAGAGAATTACACACAAACATACAATACGATGGGTTGGATGGGATAAGATGACAGTTCTACAATCTAAGGTCATTGAGTGGAGGGCGAGATGGATAACAAAAGCTTTGTTTATCGAATCAACTGAGGGGAATATGTGTGATAGGAATGATTCAACACCTGTCCAGCTGGACATCTGGCAATTTCTACTGCCTCTACGACGAAAAATAAAAAAAAGCTATAATACTCAAGTTTCGAAGTTGTTTGGTTACAATTGATGTGATTATGAACAGTAATAATTTATGTTCGAAATATTGTCATCCAGTAAATAATAATACTGTTTTGCTCACTGTGTAATACATCTAATAAACAAATTAATATGGAATTCCCCAGTATCTGACTGGTCATCTTATAAGTTGTTTGTTTAATGTAATTAAGATTGTAGCATAGCGGTTAGGACGCTCGCCGACAATGCACATGGTTGACGCAATCCTTTACCTCACAAAGCTAGAGATAATGCTGGTAAAGAGAAAAGGTTGGGCATGAGGCTAACAACCCCATCCTGTAAAAACAGAAACTTCAAGCCACTGGCTTGAAGCCCTATGTTCCACTGGGGAACATGAAGGAAAAAAAAACGATTGTACAGCAGCTTAGGGAAATGAATTGTGAAAAAGAAAATTTTCTTCCCTTCCCTCTTTTTTCGTCTTTTTCTTATGACTTTGAAATCCATTGATATTTCTGGTACTATTCTTCAACGCTACACCTAACTCTACTATCTCCTAACTCTAAATTCAACCCTAGACCCTAAATCTTAATCTAAAATGTCATAACCCTATTTGAAACTATTGATTTGCATGAAAAGTGCCTAATAAATAAGTAGTTTACTGTATCTACCCTCTCCAAATCCAAAAGGGTCGACATGATTTGATTTGGAATGACATTTCATATCAGCTCTTGAAGGTCAATTTTCCAAAGATTTGGACATTGGCTATGATACTTTAACTTCTCCGAAAAACATTGTACTGCAAATAGGAATTAAAAAATTAGAAATAACAGAAATAAGCCGAGAGATTGGATAAGAAAGGTGACAGGATTATCCCTATTGGGAAGACTGACTTTTTATGATGGCCATGTTAGAAACAATGGTTGGATTTAGTTCTGAATCGCTAGTGTTTTAGCTATGCCTAAATGCCTTGATTTTACTCCCTTTGAGAGGTTTAATCGGATCCTCTGTGGGATTTTGATGGACTTTTCATATGGAGCTGAATGTCCTGAATTAGTCAGATGTTCTATAATACACACTTGCGTTTTCCTTTCTTTTGTCCGGTAAGTTAGTATTCCCACGTGGATTTTAGAAGCCGACGCATGGTACAACCAGTGTAGTCAGCTCCGTAGGATGGAGCAAGTCAACTGGTATATGCATGTTGCAGTGACCCAATGTGATAGCTTGTCTTTCATGGGCGGGTTCAATAGTCTCTTGCAAAATGAAAATGTCACTCGTCTGGTTGGCAGCGAAGTATACTTTCCTGAGAGAGTAATTTTTCAAAAGCCGTTTACAGAGAACTCTATCAGGATCAGTATCCTACTGTGTGTTTTTCTCTATCCGATCATCCTGTTTATTATACTTTGTAAGTTTATGTATTTGATCCAGCATCACTAGTGTTAATAATAGCCCATTTCCAGGTTTTAACACAAATGATGTTCAAAAGTGCCTCAAGTCTCTAAACGCTTCCCAGAACTTAGGTCCAGATTATGTACCTAGTATTATTTTTAAAAATGTTCTGATATTCTGTGTCACCCTCCCACTGATCTATGCAACAAATCTTTTTCCAGTAATATTGTGCCTGCTGTTTGGAAGGACATTAAAATTGTACCCATACCTAAATCATCCACTTGGAGCATGTGTCAAATTTAGACCCATTTCTATTACCTCTCCTTTTTTGAAAACTATGGAGAAATTACTTTCACTTAGTCTTGTACCTTCACTTAAAACCTTTAATGACCCTAAACAATTCGCCTATAAGCACAGTAGAAGCACTTTAGACGCAGCTGCCGTCTTATAACATAACATTACTTCCAGTCAAGACAAGAGGGCTAAATTTGTTCGTGTTGCCTTCCTAGACTATACATCTGCTTTCGACTCGGTCCCTAGGGACATCCTATTAAATAAATTTGCTGCAAGTCAAACAGAATGCTGGGCTGTTAACTGGTTACATTCCTATTTCTCAGAAAGAAAGCGATGCTTCGTGTATAAAATGAAGTCTTCCACTTCATTGCCTACTGAACTGGTGTCCCTCAAGGTGCTGTCGTTTCTCCTTTTCTTTTTTCTTTCTTCTTGCATGACTTCCCTCACTCTGATGAAATTAACTTTGTGAAGTACGCTGATGATTTAACGGTTTCAATGGCTGTTAACTCCCAGCTAGATTGTACTAAAATAAATAGCTTTGTATCGGAAGTCAGCAAATGGTCTGAGTCTAACGGCCTTAAACTGAATACTTCTAAGTGTCAAACTGTTAATTTCAGCTTAAGATGTAAAAGACAGTTAAAAGAAGTCATCGATTCTCATGACAGTTGTAAAGTTGACGACAATGATATAGAAATTAAATCAGAGATTAAGTGTCTTGGACTCATTCTCTCTTCTCATCTCTCCTGGTCTTCCCATGTCTTAGCGATCTCCAGTAAAATATTCCGCCTGACATTTTACATTAAGAAGTTAAGACACTCGGGTATAACTCAACGCCTCCTCTTACAGTTCATAAACTCTTGCATCCTACCTATTCTTCTTTACTGTTCACCCTTATTCTTTCCTGGTTTGCTTAAAAAGGACTATGTCACAATTCGTTGAATGATGAAGACTGTCAGTAGGGTGAGTGGTGTCCCAGTGGACCACATAGTTAACTGCGTTGTCGATAGGCACTTGACTTCGTGCAATAAATTTGCTAGAGGGATTTTGTCTGACTTGGAGCATCCACTAAACCCTCAGCTTTCACCTTGAATCTCCTCAGGTAGAACAAGAAGTAACTTCAGAAAACTTTATGCTCGCACGTCTAAGCATAAGAATTCTATGATACCATACTTGGCACGTATTTTATGTGATGAAAATAGTGTCAGACAAGAATTAACTAACCTTTCTCTCATCTAGTAAATAAACAATTTCCTCCATCCACCCTTATATACCTTCAAGTTTTACTTTTATTACTTCTATTATATTTATGGTCCTGTTACTTCTCTGTTTTACTCTCATAATTGCAAACACCAACTTATCTCCATGACGGCAGTAATCTTTGTTTTTCCCCTCACCATATCATGTGAAGACAATATTATATCCAATATTTTTAAACATGCTAGGATTTCTATATTACATCAACAATACTGTGTGAAACAAGCCCACTGCAATTTTCACTTGTATTATTATTTTCATTACCTTAGCTGTTATCATTATTATTATTATTTCCATTTCATATGCTGCATGTTTTGGACATTATACCCCTACTGTAAATGTGGAAAATTTTCCGTGTGATTAATTTTATCTATAATTTTAGGAAATTAGATGGAATATTGTGATTAATGCTGAAAATTCCAGTCAGTATCACAAGTACTGTTTTTGGAATAAAGTAAATTATTACTATTAAAAAAAAGAAAATAGTCCTGTAACTTTCTCACCCATTAAAGTTTCGGTATCGGTGTTAGTTATGCTTACGGGATAGGGTTGCTAGCCTCGTGCCTACCCTTCCTTCTTTACCGGTCTTATTATCGGCTTAGAGATTTAAAGGAGCTCGTCGGCCGGGGCATCGAATCTCGAAACACGTGTGGCGTGGTTGGCGGATAGCATTCTACCACTGTGCCGCCAACGCACAGCAGTTCATTTACAAAGCCAACAATCCCGTTCTCTATGATTATTATTGTGATTCTGGAGTGAAGGGATTATGATTATATGCTCGAAGTACAACCAACTGTTAAAGATGATTTTCTCAACTGTTTTATTTTCCTATCTTCATCTCTTTTATTTTTCTTCCCGCCCACAGTCACAGATGCTGTATCAAGTGATAGATCCAATGCCTCGTTCATCATTGCATATTGTCTGTACCACAGCATTTCAGCATACACGACCGTATAGAATCAATGGTAATCGTATTGTAAGTGGTCCATGTCTAGTGAGAACTAAATTTAAACGTGAAAGTGTAAGTTTAATGTGCATTTGATGTAAAAAAAAAAGAAAGAGGTACGCTTGTTCAATGAAGAAGCTTTCTTTTTTTTTCTTTTGTATTCAGCGAATTCGTTTTCATACAACTAATTCCTATTTATTAAAATTTTTAAAAGAATAGTCACGGAACATAGAATATTCTTTTCGATAACTTTCTCTTCATCGTCAGGTTCTACAGTTACACATACATACATAATAGTGAATGAATGAATTCTTTCTGTCTGTCTGTTTTCGACATAGAATTACTTTGCACATATGTGCGGCAGTTTAAGTCGCCACTCCCCCTCCATGTAGCGCACAAAGCAAGAGAAGAAAGCAGGAGAAATGCATAAGAGAGACAGTAAACAGAGGTGTGAGACAAAGGAAGACTAGTAACGAATAACAAAACAGTTTCATTGGAAATCATAAGTCACATGGAGTGGATGCATCTGCACCAGTCATTGAGAATGATTTTGAGCCATGTCACCAATTGTTTTCAACCATTGATTTTTACCGTCCCAAGGACCCCAACCAGGAAGTCTACACCTTCCTACGTGGCTGGCTTAAACTAACTGTTCTAGATTTCATTGACTGGTACCATGTTTTGGTTTGACCACATCCCGCTAGCTCTTTTCCAGTCTGACCCTATGTCAGCTAACATTGCCCGTCAGTCGAGGAAGGCGATGACTAGGCATACGTAACACATATCTTAATCATCTCATTCGGTGTAAGTTCACAACCACGTCGACTGATTTCCCCTGCTTACCTAGAACTCGACGCCTAACCTCAATATTACTCACCTTATTATACCACTTCACACGGGGAATGAATGAGTTAGTGTTACTAACAACATTAGTGTTGTTTAAATGAAATCGAATCAATAATAATAATATTGATATGATCAATGGATAACAGTTCGATAGCATCAACATAACAATACACTGAACGAATATCAGACAGGGAAATTAGGAAAGATAATAATATAAATTCATGAAATCATAGTCCACACTGACGGCCGGCCAGGGAAGTAGTAGTGGCTGGCTGGAGATGTTTCTTCTGCACACAGAGCACAGGTTGTTTAAGGTTGATCGTGACAGTCTCTGCTGTTAGCGGCTTTTGGCAATTTATTCGGTATCTGATAGATGATAGAGAAGGATGATGCTTTTTTGACCGGTTTGAGCTAACATCAAACTATTGGTGGCTTTTACTACACATTTATTTAGCCACACTGTTAGATATTCATGAGTGGGTACGAAGAATCAGGCTCCTAGATCAACAGTCAATATAACTCGCTTCGCCACAGACGCAGTTGAGTCGGTAGATGCAACTAGAAGTCGTGGAAAATACCCACTGGAACATTAGATTGGAAAGAATAAGAAGTTCAGCATAGATATTGATCTTTTCGGCGACTTCATTCTCAAAAAGCTGTACATTCGCTTTTACATATACATTAGTTTACATGAATACAATTATTATTTGTTTAATTCCACATAGTAACGAAGGTGATAATAATTTTCAACTTTATATGAAAGTTTGAAGGTACAAATATAGATTACAAGGGGCTTAGAGACAAGATTGCATAGGATTAGAAAACAGTTACAATGTGTGCAAAATTAATATTTGATAACTAAAGAAATAATAGTTTTAAAGGTGAATAAAAAGTGATAATTATTTTCAACTTGATATGAATTACAAGGGGCTTAGAGACAAAAATTACGCAGAGATAGAACGAATTACAGGTGTGAACAAAATGAACATGGAAACAAATTGAAATCAAAATTTTGAACTTGAAATGTAAGTTATGAGGTGTGAATATAGATTACAAGAGGCAATGAAACAAAAAATTAGACATTATTAGAATATAACTGTAAAATGGTTTTTCTAAATAGATTACAAGTGTGATCAGGGGGAGCATGGAAACAAACTGATTTTATAACTGAAAAATAGGATGTTCTCAGTGAAGGCAAAGAGAGAAAATTACACACACACACAGATAATAAACCAAAAAAACTGAAGGTTAAGGGAACATACCGAACTAAGTCCATGGTAGTTGTAAAGACTGGACTAGTTTCGCTTGAACACATAGCTCCGGCTTTTTGATGCATATGGCTAGAGCTTCCGCAGTACAAACAAGTCGAAAACACACTGCCTTTGGTAAATTTTTGTTTACAATGTAAATGACTCTAAATGATGAGTCCATTGAGTTTTTGTGACAGGTATTGACGAGATGTTCAGTTATTGCGCTTCTGATTGAACCAGTGCCTCCTCTTTGCAGCCATGCTGGATGATGTTCTCTAAAACGTTTTGATAAGACCCGCATAGAACGACCTATGTGCCTAGCTCCGCAAAAGCAGGTGAACTGATCTATGCACATTGAAGTGGTCATATGCGAAAGTCTGCCCTTCCCGTTGCTCCGAAGTAATGGGCGGCAAGAGAATATCACTCTTAGATTTGCTGCCATGTGGAATTAAACAAATAATAATTGTAACCATGTAAACTAGTCTATATAAATGCGATTGTACAGCTTTTGGCAATTGGAAGTGGCTAGTCTAGTCTAGGTTCTTCATCTTTCAATCGAGATATCACTATCGGTCGTGTAGAAATTGTTATTATTATCATTTATTAGTCTGAATAAGGAAAGAATGAACGAATATACAGCAAGGATAATATGAGCTCGTTATTTATTTTTTGGATTCCCGTCAACTGCATAAATCCTAAACGAAATCAAATTAGAAGTCACAAAATGATACCTCAATATATGTTTCACAATGACTTTGATTTATAGATATAAAGCATAAGCACTGAAAACCACGAAGTACTGAACAGCTGTTTCATCAACCTAGTTTGTGATTCTTCAGCAGTACGCATCCGCTGCACTGGGGTTCAAAATCAGGACCTTCTGATTACAAGGCTAGCTCGTAGACCCTTCACTCACAGGGACTCAATTCAGTGGCGAACCCATGAATTCTAACTTCTACCACTGCGTGATTTAGCACGAACTGGCAACAACCAGTGTCAACCGGTGGGAAATCCATCCTCACGCTTAACTGAATGCAACTCATTGGTCACGACTTCTCATTGGAACTCCAGGAAATTCCATCATGTAGCAAGTCACGGGTTGATTTGTAAGGATTTGATTGAATCGGGTCCCAGTGGCTGAATGGTACACGAGCTGGCCTTGTAAATGGAAGCTTCTAGGTTCGAACCTCAGTGGGTGTGTGCTGGCTATGATTCCCAAACTAGTGGGATGAAACAGCTTGTGCCCAGTAATCCCTCCAGGTTTTTTAACGGTTCCCCAATCGATGTCAGCTCATGATGAAATCCTGTAACCAATAAAAATAGCTTCATTTCAAATAGTATACGAACATGTGGTACAAAAGTTTTCAGAGTATTTAGATTCCTAAAGTACTTTTTATTCGTACAGGATTTAAATGTATTAATATTATTATTCTGAAGCATATCATCATTTCGATGAAGAATTGCACCGCAATTACCTGAAAGTAAGTTAAATCAACGCAAAAGTTCATGCATAGGCTATTTGATATAACTAAATGACTAACTAATTTAGACTAAGCAATAAGAAAACGTAATCTGTCAGAATCGTTTAATGTTGTATTTGTGCAACACACTCCAAACAATCTGATCACACATAGACTTGCCATAGGAATGCATATATGTATGAAAATAATATAGAGTTTAGAAGTGAGAAAACAGACTTAAATCACATTAGAAGCCTGTCATATCGAAGGTTAAAATAACAGCTAACAAGAAGAACTGATTGGCGCCTAAGAAGATGGATCCATAGAAAACCTCCTTGGAATGGTCAGCTAACAAGCTTCTATATCTGGGTACCCATTCAACAAAAGCGGAATGTAATCAAATCACTTGCCACCTGCATCCAACGCATCTGTAGTCCTGACGTTCTGGAAGCAGAATTAGATATTCTAAGAGAAATCTTCATCCAGAATGGATACCCAATACGATTCATCGACAAAAATATCAAACCAATAATTCGAAGAAACGAAACTTTAATTGCGCCTAAAAAGAAACTCTAGATGAACTTGGATTTCAAGGAAGATTTAGCAAGCGATATTCTCAAGAGAAGGATAACATCCTCTCTGAGAAAAACATTCTTTGCAGCAACGCTAAGAATAGTGTTCTCCAGTCGCCCACTGATCTGCAGAAGCCTCAAGGACAAGATCCCGCATCTGACCACTTCTGTGTGCATATATCAGTTCACCTGCTGCTATGGTGCCATGTACATCAGTCGTTCGACGCGGATCCTGCCCAAGAGGATTCAAGAACCCTATCCAGCATGGTTGCGAAAATGCAATAGTGGTATAAAAAGGAGTGCGATAATTGAACATCTGGTTAACACTGATCATTCCATTTCAACGAACGCCTCCTGCTTCAAAGTAATCTACAGAGTCAAGAATAACCTATCAAAGGCAATATGGTTTCGTCTCCTTTGTACCGCTGAAGCTCTGGTCATTCACATAGAAAAACTGGAGCTGTGTATACAAAAGAGGATTACTCAACCACTTCTACTGTCATGGTAAAATCTTTCTTGATTTTGCTGACTTAATTTCGTTACTTTGCCTGCTCTTTAATTGCTTATAATTCTTGTATTCACTTAGATCTCTTACATAATTTCGTATTATCTACTTTGTTTCTATGTGCATCCTGAGTAAAACTCACTCATCAAACTATTCATATTATTATTACATAACTTCTTTTGACAACTGTTTTTGACAACTCATCACATTTGTTACTACCCTAATTTCATTAACACCTAATTTTCTTTACTTGTATTACCAATCTTCTCCTATTTAGTTAAAATAACCAATTGTAATTTCGTTTGACAAACTTAATGTACACATACATATAAAATAATACATATATATTTGTGATTGTACAGCTAAGAAAATGAATTCGCCGCCGAAAAGAGACTCTTCGCTGATCTACGTGTTTTGTTTTCACTAATGCCTGAATAGGGAT